GAAAACCGTAATATGTAAATTGTAATCAGTTTTACTTATATGTATGTATGTTCATTTTGAATTTGTACCTTGACTAATCTGTTATTTACTTTTCGTGGTACACATTCAACATAGAAAATAACATAACGTATGTTCACTTTGAACTGGCACATTTAGTAATATATCAGTTACTTTTCGTGGTCATATATTATATTAGATAATATCATTTAAAGTATTAAAGGTTTAAATTATTATGTTACATTATTAAATAACCATTTTAATTTAGAAAGGTTCAAATTTTTGGAGTTAACTTCCCTGGTAGAAATTTCCTTGTCAGCGCCACGATACTATCTAGCGCCTCGTATTTTGCCACTGCTTTACCACGCCATAACCATTTGAAAAAATCTGACATGGTCCATAATAGGCTTAATCTTGCGCCTGATATGGAAATGGCTTAGCATTTGTCGTAAAATAAAAATTAATTGGTTTTTCAAAACATCAAAGGAATATAGTTAGAAATATCATTCGCATAAGATTTTTAAAAATTTGTATACGTGAACACATCATACCTCAACATTTATATTATATTTCTAACCACCATCTGAAATTTACTCACTATAAAATGATCAAAAAATTTTCTTATATAACTCAAGTGTACATCCACCGAATACTCACAATAGAATTAAATCAAGCTCATAAATCTATGAGTTTTTCCAAAAATCAATCTCTTTACCTTGTGAGAAAAATGTCATCACATATTCCCACTCATATCTTACATTCTTTCCTTCATAGGCAAAAAATTTTTCACAATCGTTTGTTCGAAGATGAATTACTGAAACAAAATAAAAAAATTGATTGGCTTCTTAAAAAACAAAGAACTGAATTGATTAGAAACACAAAACCTATACATTACAAGATTTTCTATAATTCTCCTGATTCATCTAATCTTTCTATCGATAATAACAAAATACTTTGTGATATTCAAATAGATGCTTCTGATATCACTTCTGAAAATAAAAATACATCTTTAACTGAAAAAAGAGAAAAGTGGTTCATAAATTTATCTTCTGTACAATTTCCGATTGATGTTTCATGTCTATTGCAATTGGGAGATAATTTTTCGATGCCTCCTTTTAATTGCATGAAGACAACACTTGAATATATTAAAAGCGTGGAGAATAGCATAAACAATTTACATGCTAGGTTTCACTCATGTGTTAGGAACCAATCCATATCAATTATTAATAATCTTTCTTCCTATTTTAATAGATGTGACAATTTAAAAAGCAAGTTGCTCCATATGTGGTCAGCTACAAATGATTTTCTAAAAAATAATAATAACATTATGCTCAATAGAGCTGACAAGGGCAATGTAGCGGTTGCTATGGAAAAAACTGAATACAGAGAAAAAATGCATAAATTGTTAAAAGATGAGAGCACTTATGAAGTTGTTAAAAAGGATCCTACATCCTCTTTATCCAGAAAATTGAGAGATCTACTTAGCAGATGGAAAAGAAAGGAGTTTATCTCACAACAAAGTTATAGTCATCTTTATGTTAGTGATGGCATACTTCCTGGTGCTTATGGCCTTCCAAAAATCCATAAACCTGATATTCCTCTTAGAATTATTGTTTCCACTATAGATAGTCCATTGTATCCTTTATCCACTTTCTTACACAAAATCATATATAAAGTTAGTGCTAATTCTCCTAGTTTTATAAAAAATAGTTTCCACTTAATTGACATTTTAAATAACACAACCCTAGATGATAACCACGCTTTGATCTCTTTAGATGTTGTCTCTCTTTTTACGAATATACCAATTGACCTAGCTATAGATAGTATTACTCGTAGATGGCCTTTTATTTCTGATGGAACTAAAATCTCCATGGATGAATTCATTATTGCATTGAGATTCATTTTTGATTCTGCATTTTTTTCCTTTGACGGTGTCATTTACAGACAAAAATTTGGAATGCCTATGGGATCTCCCTTGTCTCCTGTCATAGCTGATATTGTTTTACAGGATCTAGAAAAAAATGCTTTGAACATGTTAGACTTCCATATACCTCTATATGTTCGATATGTAGATGACATAGCCTTAAGTGTTCCTGTTGATAGAATTAATGATGTCTTACCTTCGTTCAATTCGTTACATCCACGCTTACAATTTACAATGGAGATTGGTGGTTCTAATCTCAATTTTTTGGATATAACTATTATTAAGAATAATAATGTTATTGAATATGATTGGTATCACAAGCCTACTTTTTCCGGAAGATATCTGAATTTTTTCTCACAACATCCTCTCTCTCAAAAACGAGGAACTGTCATCGGTATGGTTGACAGGGCTTTCCTTTTATCCGTTCCCAGATTCCATAAAAAGAACTTGATTTTTGTTATAGAGACATTACTTAGTAATGACTATCCGGTGGATTTTGTTTTTAATGTCATCAATGAGCGACTAAAATCTTTATTATTGAAAAAAACTTCAAAGCAAGATGTTGATTTGAATTCGAATAGAATTGAAAAAGAAAAAAAGATTTGGTTTACTGTTCCGTTCATGGATGGGATTGCTAACAAATTCAAAAATGCTGTTAAAAACTTAAATGTACACTTATCGTTTTTCAGTCTCAATAAGCTCAGTTGTTTCATCCATTCACATAAAGATCATGTATCTAATATGAAAAGAAGAAATTTAGTTTACAAAATTAATTGTAAAGATTGTAATGCCTCATACGTTGGTCAGACCAAACGCACACTAAAAACAAGAATCACTGAACATAAAAATGATATACGTAAAAGTAATGGTAATTTTTCTGTGATTAGTGAACACAGATTAAATTTGAATCATGAGTTTGATTGGGAGGACACTGAGATTATTGATTCTGAGAGATGGTTTTATAGACGACGCATTGCAGAAATGCTACATATTAAATTACAGAACAATAGTTTAAACTTACAATCAGATACTGAATTTTTACATAATTCGTATTTACCTATCTTAGATTCATTTAAATAATGTATTTAATATGAATTCTTCTATGTTAAAGTAAAAGTGCTTCGTTATTGGTTCATCGTGTTTTTACCAGCTTGCGCAGTCTCATTACAGACTTGTCATTCTCACCGTTTGTTTTTATCTCATTTGACTATTGTGCGTTGACTTTGTATCATTTTATTTTATTCTATACGTATAATATTATAAATTCTTTTGATGTGACTTATATCTAATTAATTTGCTGCACTGGTGAGTGTCTCATTAATCCTTTCAGTTTTTGTGTTACTAATAATTTGTTTATTGATAAATTTTATTTAATAGTTGTCCATTAATCACCAAAAAACCAATTAATTTTTTGTCTATTGGAGAAGATGTGTTGCTACACCTGTGCAGCTAATTGATGACCATTCTACATGGAATTTGAAGGGGTATTATTTATATCATTGAAAATGGCTCAAAGAGTAGCCGAAACGTTTGAATTTTGATTAAATTTATAATTATATTGTAATAAAGAATTTTAAACTCGCACTGACTACCGCAGTTTTTGACTCTCATTAGCCTGTTTGTTTATTGTTTACGAAATAAATATTAATCTGGAATCAATATATTTATTTCTAAAATTAAAATGGAATCTAACATGTGATACCAAGTTATAGTGGTACAAAATGTAGAAGATATTGATACTGACACTTATTCAGATAATATTCAAGAAAGTGCATGCAATAACGAGCTTTCCTCTAGTCCCGATGTTAATGAAAGGTTAAGTGAATCGTGGACTGATTGTAATGCAAGCTTTTCTGAAACCAATGACAGTATTTTAAGTGAGAAATGACATTAATTTTTGTTCGTGATATTTGTAAATAACAATAAATTGGATAAAACGAATTAATGATACATCATTTCGTTTTATTCAAATTATCTTTATTTACAAATAACACATAACAAAATTAATGTGTCATTTTTCGCTTAAAACGTCACGATTTAACGTGCCTTAATAGCGCCACATATTATCCATGCTAATGCGCCATGATATGCGCCAGGTCAGTCGCTCAGGAACGCCAAGCCAATCGCTCGACGGCACCAAGGGGCCTATTCTGTACACGCTTACCGACAACTGTCGGTTCGGTATAATAACGACGTTTGTCGCTTGCACGACCGATACAAATGGATGAACATTATTCTGTACACCATCTTTAACGACACATATCGTTGCAAGCGACAGCCGTCGCTACGATTTTATCGATAAAGTACAGGCTGGAAAAAATGTAAAGAATAATGTTTTCAACCAATAGCATTAAAGTTGTATAAGAAATTCGCGGGAGAGCTTTCGTAGGCAGTTAGCAGTATATATAGTTCTAAGTTATTTGTTTCTACCATTATAGATTAACTTTAATCTTTTTAATTTATTCTGTATCTTTTTTTAATTCTCAGAATATTCTGTTTCTGAGAAGAAGATACAAACTAAGATTAAAGTTAATCTATATTGATAGAAATCAATATAGATTGTGTAGTTAGAGGTTAGGTTATATAGAGTAATAAAGTTATTAAATTTATAACAAAATTATTATTAAATGTTAATAATATGGCTTCAGAAGGAAGGTATGTATATCTAATTTATTTAAAGTGTGTATGTATATATATACATATAATATATAATACGATTTTTATTATTATAGTTATAATATAAGGTATATTTACATTATTGCTATATACATATATTATATTTATTATTAATGTATAATTCCTTACTAATTTACATAAACATTATATATATATGTATGTATAAATGAAATGTTTATGTAAATTAGTAACTAATTATACATTTATAATAAATATATGTATAATAATAATGTAAGATATATAAATGTATAGATAATAATAAAAATAATATTAAATTTTATATAGTTTTTATTAATTATGCGGTATAGTTATGTAAATACATATTATATAATTAAATTGTAATAGTTCTTTGCATATAGCTTAATAAGATAATACCTATTGTACTTACACTTATTTTATTTGTTACTGTTGTGTGTGTTTTATAATTTAGTACAAAAAAATCTCGTGCTACACGCACAACACAAGTGCAATACGAAGAATTGGTGAAATACATGGAGTCTCATTCAGAGTTCGCTGCAGGAAAGTTTTTGGGTAAAGAGGGTAAACTTCATTATGCTCAACAATGGGAAAGATTAACAGAAATTTTAAATTCATTAAGTACGGGACCCGGAAAGACTACCAAGCAATGGCAAACGGTATGCAATTTAAATAATTAAAAATGTAACTGCTTAAATATAAAATATATGTATAATTGTATATATTTTATTACCAGTATATATACATTCAAAAATATTAATCATCATTTATCATCATAATTTCTATTTAATTATACGTTTCTTTAGTGGTAAATTATTTAAATATATTAAAGCAGTTAGATTTTAAATTATTGCTTAAAGTATGTAACAAATATTAGCAAGTAAGAACATTATATATATTATTATTATATTATAATTATTATATTATATTACTATATTATATTATTATA